ACCCCCCACCCCGGGGCAGGCAGAGGCTAGGGGCCTGAATTCTCCCGGCTGCAACCTTCTTAGGACGCCTTCTGTTCTCCTCCTTGCAGCCATGCCGGTGACGGTGACCCGCACGACCATCACGACCACGTCCTCCTCGGCCTCCCCGACCGTCCTGGGGTCCCCTCGGTCGCTGTACCAGCCCCTGGGCCTGCTCCGCCTGCTCCAGCTGCTTTCCACCTGCGTGGCCTTCTCGCTGGTTGCCAGCGTGGACGCCTATGTCGGGTTCTCGGGCAACTGGTGCATGTTCGCCTGGTGCTTCTGCTTCGCCGTGACCTTCATCATCATCGTGGTGGAGCTCGGCGGGCTCCAGGCTCGCTTCCCGCTGTCCTGGCGCAACTTCCCCATCACCTACGCCTGCTACGCCGCCCTCTTCTGCCTCTCGGCCTCCATCATCTACCCCACCACCTACGTCCAGTTCCTGAGCCACGGCCGCACCAGGGACCACGCCATCGCCGCCACCGCCTTCTCCTGCATCGCGTGTGTGGCTTACGCCACCGAGGTGGCCTGGACCCGGGCCCGGCCCGGCGAGATCACGGGCTACATGGCCACCGTGCCGGGCCTGCTCAAGGTGGTGGAGACCTTCGTGGCCTGCATCATCTTCGCCTTCATCAGCGACGCCTACCTGTACAAGAACAAGCCGGCGCTGGAGTGGTGCGTGGCCGTCTACGCCATCTGCTTCATCCTGGCCGCCGTGGCCATCCTGCTGAACCTGTTCGACTGCACCAACGCGCTGCCCATCCCCTTCCCCAGCTTCCTGTCCGGCCTGGCCCTGCTCTCCGTCCTCTTCTACGCCTCGGCCATGGTCCTCTGGCCCCTCTACCAGTTCGACGAGAGGTACGGCGGCGTCCCTGAGCGCAGGAGGGATGCCGGCTGCAGGAGCAGCCACATCCAGTACGTGTGCGACTGGGACCGCCGCCTGGCCGTGGCCATTCTGACGGCCATCAACCTGCTGGCCTACGTGGCCGACCTGGTGTACTCGGCCCGCCTGGTCTTTGTCAGGGTCTGAGGGGCTGTCCCGGAGCTCCCGGCGCCCTCTTCTCTGCGAGGGTGTCTCTACCGGATTCTGATCTCCTCCGATGTCCTCCCCCTGGGGCTCCCCCCCCCCCCTCCTGTACTCTCTGTCCCCGTCCCTTCCTGCGTCTTTGGCTGCCCACACCCTGTGTTGCCTTTCTCTCCTCACTCTCTCTCTCCTTTCCTCCCTCGTCGGTTTTTTCCTGGCGATCCGCCCTGTTTGCTTTCTCGCCTGCCTTGTTTCCTTTGCCACTTCTTCCCATTTCCCTTCTTCCGCGTTCCTTGGGAGCCCTGGGACTTCTTGGTCACCCCCCACTCCACCCCAACTCCAAAGGTGCTGAGCTCCACACCCCACACCCCACACCCCACACCCCACATAGCAGCTGGTCAGACCCCAGCCCCCCCGTGGGGCCTCATTGCCAAAGCATGTGCCCACGCTGGCTGTGCCTTAGTAGGTGTGTATGTGTGTGTGTATGTGTGTGTGTGTGTGTTCCGGGGGTGGGAGGGTAGTTAGCGAGGGGGACCCTTTTCTCGCAGTGGAAGGGGGTGTATAGTAAAGCCTCCCCCCTTTAAGTAAAAAATAAAAAATCCCCGGAGGTCAGTTATTTCCAACTAGAGGCCCGGTGCACGAAATTCGTGCAAGGGGCTCGGCCCTCGCTGCCCGGCTGCCCCACCCACTGGTCATTCGGGAAGGTCGCCGTCCAGGTCATCCCGCTGGTCCAGCCTAATTAGCATATTAGCTCTTTATTATATAGAATGGGCAGGAGGCTTACATCACAGACTCTGGGTCCTTGGGCCCCACCTGGCATCCAGTCTCCCCAGAATTTTTGCCAGGCTTACCAAAACCCCCTGCCCACGGGCTGTCTTCAAGGGACCCAAGGACGGTGGCTGCCTTCCCTCCTAAC